ACTGCTCCTCAGATATGTCATTAGACTTTGTGGGGCAGGGAAACCACATTTAACTGCAAAATATAAAAACAAGTTTAAAAAACCCAACCCAGGGCTTCCTGCCTGGTGGGAATGAACCTGCATGCTGTTCTGGCCGCTGCCTTGGATCTCTTGGAGGGACTGTCTCCACCTTCCTACCACAGAACTGCCTCAGGTAACAGAGTAGAGAGGTGGCCAGAGCCTTGCAGTGTCATGTCAAGGCACAGACCCATGGGGCCTTGGCCCTTCAGCCCAAATCTGCAAGGGCTTCCCCTCGGCCACCATGCCCGGGGCTGGGTATGGAAGCCCTGGACCACATGGTAGCAGTAGGAGACAGGGCTACATCTCACTTGATACAGGCTCACCTTGCACAAGTCCAAGCCTCCAAGTGCCTTCAAAGCAGCCAACAACCAAGGCAGATGGAGTTTTACAAACCTGATTTATCATCTGATGTCCTGATAAGAAGCTAAGCTGGATATCCACAAATGGCAGCATTGCTGTATCTCTCAGTGTAAACTCGCAGTTTGCTGTTCCCTGCAACCGAGCAGGTGGTTCCTTAAAACCAAGCATAGAACCAAGAAATCCAGGTTTCCCCATGGCTCTCTCTCAAGATTGAGCCTAAGGGATGAGTTCACTCTGCAGCTTTTCTCCTCTACCTTGGCTCATATTTTCAGAAGAATGTGTAGGGCTGTTATACCTTTGAAGCCAAAGGTTGATACCATCAACCAAATAAGGCCAAAATGACCAGAAGGTTCAGAAGTCATTGGGGGAAATGAAGATGCATACAAAGATAGAACAACTGCACATTTCATACGGCTAAAAGCTCCTACCTAACTTTGTATTTTGTCTCCTAAATGAAAAAAAAAAAGCCTCCAGTAACTATGCAAACAATGCAGAAGAGATAGGAAACCTCTATGAAGGGAAGAGCAGGGCACAGAGCAGGGATGGAAGGGATTTTGTGTTCCTGAGGGGAACGCTCCTTTATTAAGCATCTCTATCAGAGGTAATAGGGAAAAAATAATGCATCAGCTGGACGGCATCCAGCATGAACCCACAATAACCACAGCTGGCTTTCAAACACAGTAAAAAGACGCCCAAAATGTTTGCTACTGGACAAGCGGGAAGCAGAATTGCTGCTCCACGCCCACCGATAGCCCTTGCCTGTCTTAACTCACTGATGGGGTTTGAAGAGCTGATGCTGAAATTCATAACTGCTGTCAAGTTACAACCATAAAATAAAACAGAAAAATGACGGAGCAGAAGAGCGGAACCTCCCTGTCTTCATCCCTTGCACGTCCGTGTGCCTCCCACAAGACGGGCTCCTGCCTGTCTTTCTCCAAATCTCCCTCAATGCTGAAGTTTGCACTTGCAGAGGAAATTCAACACACAGAATTTACAATTCGCTGGACAGACAGAGAGGCCTTGAGTAAGGAGCTCTAATCCATCGAGGACATTCCCTTGCTAGAGCCCAGAGTGAAATTCTTCGGGTGCTGGAGACAGATTTTCCTTGGCGGGCGGCCACGAGTGTCGATCTGGCTTCTAGGAGAGATCAGCATGGCTGTGGATTGCAGCGACTTCACAGACAAACATAAAACCTTCCTCTTCAACTAACTTTCTTATAATAAACCCATGAAAATGAAAAGCTAAAACATTTCCAGCTGGCCAGAAGCTGCAGAGAGAACAGTGAACTTATTGCATGTGCCGGCTTGGGGCTGATTTGAAAGCTCCTGAAGATCTTCAGTGGTATTTGGACATTCAGTGGTATTTGGACAGAAGGGCCTAAGTCACTTTTGAAAGAAAGATGCAGAAAACTAAGTTATTTAGGTGCCTTTCATATTTTAGCACGGTTATTTATGGAACTAAATTTATTTCAGATTTCGAACATATAGCACTGAGTGCGTAAGAATAAAGTTTAAACTCTAAGGGGATAAAGTAACTATTTGCTTCCTTGTAAAGCCTTAAATATTTGAGTATTGCTGTCAGACCCTTGTTATAAAAGGGCTCTTACAGAAGGATTTGAGATGTGACTTGATGTACTTTATCACTTCATTAAAGGTATTTATGAATTTAGAATTGTCCCAGGATGGGAAGAAAAGTCCCCTTTTAAATTACTGTCTGCTCAGAATAGCAATTTCGATTCTCTGGGCTTGACTCCTTTCTTCTTTACCATACAGTGATGGAATTGCTCCCAATTTCCTCGAGCGCAAGGGGAAAATCAGGCTTTCAATGTACAGAGGGCTCTTACACTTGAGCCTGCTGCACTGAACGAGGAGGAGCTCTGATGTTCCTAGACAATGACATTTTTATAGGGCTTATTTTCCACCACAAGGATCTCTGTATTCAAGACACAAACCAAACCACTACTTTTTTCCCTACCATTTTCTATTTTATTGTACTAAGAATTAATTTTGGTCATTCCCTTAATCATCCCACATTACTTTGAAAATTTTCTCTCATCTACAATTGCTCTGTAACAGCTCATACTGAAATATATTGGGAAGGGAGGGGGAAATCTCTTTAATCTCCCTACTTACTCGGTGCATTTTTTGCCCAGTCACTTTTCTTCCCTACATAACCAAGCCAGACCGCTTCTGCCTGCTCGTGCAAAGCCACGCTAATTGACAGGGCAGCTCCACGGTAAGCATAAACCTACCTGAAATATAAACCTGAAATTACTTTTAAGGTTTTGAGAAGCCTGTCTGGATTTCAGCTTGGAAACACCCTTTCACCAGCTATGCCGGCGTTCCTTCCCGGGTGAAGGAAAACAGCCACAAACACAAACACTTTCAGGTGGCATCTTCTTCCCCCATTCACAGCTCTAAGTCAATATTGTGTTAACATTCAGCGACTTAAAAGAGAAAGAATGCAACGTCCAAAAAGAAGAAATTAAAAACAAGCTGAAGTACGAATTAAAGACCTCTCTTTGCTGTACCTTCATCCGTCCACCCTTCCAGCTATCCCCTGCTCCCGGCCCCTGCAGCTGGAGCTGCAGTCCAACAAGAAGCACCACGGTGGTGGGAGCACTGGAGCTGTGATGGCCCCAGCGCAGCCCACGGAGCTTCACACAGGTGGAGTTTGGTGACACGTTACGTGTCACGGGATTAGGTCATTGACAGGATCAAGGGAGCCGGGAACTATCTCATCTTCTCACGTTATTGCTCATCTCAATAAGCCAGTGATAGGTGGATTCTTCTCTACTTGGAGCAACGAGATGTTGTCCTTTATCTGTACAATACTTGGCATCAACAAGCATCCCTGTTATCCAGAAGATCTAGGACTGCCTGTCCTCACCTGAAACTCAACAGGCCAGAGCATCTCCCCTTTCTCCTCGCAACATTCAGAAAAGCTATTATTTTTAAATGCAGGAAAAAAAGTTGGGACTACCTTCCAAAACAAAGAAGAAAATGCCGTGTACAAAGATGACCATTTGACAGAGGAGGAAAAATTGTAGAGAGCTACCGTTCAGCTTTCTCCTCGCCCAAGCTGAATTCATTTGGCTGCGTTTTGCACTTATGAACCGTACAAACATTTCACTGCTAATGCACTGGCTCAGACCAGCTGAACCTCACCGAGCATTTTTAAGGCATTTCATTCTTCAAACAGCCACAGCCTTCCTCTTCAAAATCCCTGCATTCAAGTCTTCGTGCTTGGAAAAGGACCAAAGCCTCCACATTTTCTTATACCCAGGAGGTTGCGAGTGCGTTGCGTACTGCAGTCAATAAAGTGCCAAGAAGCTAATGAAGATAAAAGTGTCAACGCGTAGCAGTGATAACACACACCTTTCCCACGTAGCTATTTTGACCATTTTGCAAACAAAATTGGCAGGTACTCAGGGGCCCAAGTCCGAAAAGCAAACGCACGGCATCTCAACGTTATTAAACTTATTGCTGCTCCGCAGAAGTGTCATGGGATGACAGATTGCTCCCTGCACATCAATTGGATTCAGAGAAGTTCTCAAACCCTTACGGGTTAAAAGCGGCTCCAGCATGAATCAGAGTCCCAGTGGTAAGGAGATCATCGATACAAGGGATTATGCAGATTTAAGAAATACCCTCGGCACCCGAAAGTTTTCAGAATGCAAACTACGTCAACCCTGAAAACAAGAGGCACTGCATCATGATGGCAGGAGGGACAAAGCCAGGGGGGTTTAACAGACAAAAAAAGATTGTTTTAATAGGAGAGAAGCATCAGTCATTGAGTCTTACTTCATTCAGACTTTCTATCCAACCCATCCATCTTCAGTGCCAAGAGATGACAGGACCACCTCACTTTTTCCCCCCAGCCTAGTATATCAATAATGCCCATTTCTACCCCAAACAAATGACTCACTAGAATGGCCCTTTTCCCTAAATTGGCTTGCCAAGCCCCACAAATGCCTCAGTACCTGCTATGGTCAACTTGGCTCCAACGGGGCCCCCTCGAGAGGTGGGCACCGATGGGTGGAGCCTTCCCCAATCATCTTCCCCAACAGCCACTTTGTCATTCATGGCTGGGGACCATCTGCGGAAGAGGGGACCAGGGAGGGGGGAGCCGAGCCAAAGACGGACACAAATGGGCGCGCACACACTCGTACCCTCCCCACACAAGCCCGAATGCAAATTCCGTCGCCCTCGCAAAACGCCTCTGCGGGCATTATCTGTGAACAAAAGTCCTCGAGGCGGGCGGTCTCTGCATCACTGCTCTCTCTGTTAGCACCACCTGCTTGGCGTCAGCCGGGAGAGTCGCCGAGTTATCTTTTTGCCACGTCTGCAGAAGCCAACGGGAGCACAATGGGCCCCATCGGCCAGGGTCAGGCATGGCTTTCTTTCTCGCCCCCGTACCACCAGCCCTTTTCACCTTCACCATCTCCAGCACCCCGGAGCGCTCAATAAGGAGGTGGCTTCGAGCGCAGGGAGAAGGAGGAGGGGGGGAAATATAGGTCTCTGGCGTAAATCACCGACGCCGTTTCCCCTCCTCTCTCTTTCCTTAAGACCTGATGGTCTTCAGTCACACATCTTAAAAGAAAAACAAAAAACAAAAACACAAAGACTTACTTGTCTCAAGTCGATGAAGGCCAACTGCAGCGTGTCCCCTTGGAACCCAGGCACTGGGCCGGATCTGGCAAACTCTGTGGGAAAGAAAAGAGGATAAAAAGCGCCTTTAACTAACCATGGACAGGGAGATTGGCAGACGGATGACAGGGAAGACAAGAGAGGCTGGGGGGGAGGAGGACCGCGCTTCTAAGGAGTCATGTCTCCCTCCCTTCAGTGTCTTTGTTCGCCCTTCAAAATTCGTGTCATCAAAACACCATTAATTCCACCGTCCTGACAGCAAGGAAACTGTACTAATTCGACCTGAAATTTATTCCCATGAGCCGTACTGGGCTTCAGAGTATTTGTTTTGTGAATGGACAAACAACTCGCCGAGAAGAAAGGGGGGGATGGGGGTGGAAAAGTTTTTCCTCTCAACACAATAAAATCTTCAGCTGTGAAACTCTTTTCAGTTCCGAAAGCTATTTATATTTTAGGGCGCTGAAGGAATTTTCTAATTTCACGCCTGTCACCAGCCTCCATAAGCATTCATCAAAAAATATGCCCAGCCGCATCATTAATTATTCGGCAGCAGATTATTTGCATTATCTGGTATGGCGCGCTATTGCCAGCGTACAGTCACCCCAAATGGGAAGAATCGCGGCCATTATGTAGCATATTTATTTATGTTGGATGAAGACATCTGACAACTGAATAACGTTGGCTTCTAAAACGAAGAGAGTATTTCCAAGGCCACATTTACCTCGTTCCAGTGTAATCTGGCCAAAATTTCATACTTAAGTCATTTATTTTTCTTGTAATCCATTATTTAAACCAAGCCTAAAACCACTGAGGGGGACTTGAATGCATCCACGTCAGAGGACCTTAGCCCTTCCATGCCATTCAACAGCTTTTACGTGGTAGCATTCACAAAGCCAACGACTGCACATATTCATGTGTGTCCTTTGAAGATACACCTGAGGCTGATTTTGCCCAACTTCACCTCATTTTCACCCTCTTTAGCTACAGAAGTAACAGCTTTATCTCTGCTCCCCATGCAAATTTTCATTACCGAGGGGACCTAATTTGTGAAGCCACAACTCAACATCATGAAAGACTCAAGAAGGAGCTTCTGCCTTCGGCTGAATTTTGTCACTCCTGCATACACTGAAGATGCTGCGCGCTGGAACGAAATGTTTTCTTGAGATGCAACCAAGTGTGATGGCAGAAAGGAAGAAGGGAGAGAAAATATACACCAACCTACAGATTTTTAAGTTACGTATGGCCCATTATTGCCCAACTATTCTGGTTTTTACCATACAAGAACCCTCAAAACAGCTCCTGCAGCTCCACAAAGCCAAGGACTAAGGATGGCTCAGCAATAACGAAGGAGGATTTTGCCTTCTGTCTCCATGACTGCACAGAGGTAGTAAAAGACAAAGTCTGTCCTGTCTTTAAATGCTAAGGCATTTCATGCCAGGTGGTATTCTCCTTCAATGCTTCTCCTTCCAAAAGTTATCTCGTTTTCAAGCAAATGCCATAAAAGAAGGAAAAAAAATCATCAGTCCTATTTTTAAGGACTTCCTGTAGCAGCTCAGTCCTATGAGCAGTCCCCATGGCTCTAAAGAGAACAGACTAATGAATTAGGTCGGGATTCAGCCCTGTTCCTCAACTGCCTTGTTTCTGGAAACCAGAGAGGGGTTATTTGTCAGCCCTCTTGCTCTACCTTCCATTAAAATCTTGGGATGGAGAACATCCTTCAGTACAGACACAGGTACCTCCAGGGGCACAGCAGACAGTTTTCAGACATCCATGGCTTCGTTTTTTAATATTTTCAGATGACAGAAGAGCCCTAAGATTGAAACGATCACTCATCTTTGCAGTGATCACTCAAGTGACAACTGCTGCAGGACAATAGCAAGCACAGCTGTGAAGTCACTACTTCTATCCAATGTTGCTACTAGAAATGAATAATACGACTAAGCGATAAAATAAAACGAAAAACTAATCAAAAATAAAAAGAGAAAATATGTACATCACTGTTCAGATTTAGATTTTGGATAGGAAGAGCATAAACCAAAGCCAGAAGAAACCATCCATCATTGTGCCTATGGACTTTGCCACTTTTGCACAGGATGGGACTGGACAGAGATAGGAGCTGCTCAGCATCCAGCCAGTTTCACTGACCAATGCTGCAATATTCAGGCTGCAAATAGTCCAAAGAGAGTTTATATTTAACCCTCAAAAACTGTTTTAATTAATTCTAACTGTAAAGGCATTTTAATGTAAGTTTGCTACAAAATTTGACTGTAGCTTGCCTGTGCCAGCACACACATGCGAGGGAGGACTAACACAAGCTTTCTGACTCTGATCTGCAAGGGATAAATCATCTTTACACATTTGTTGTACACCCCACTGTCTCATCTGGAAAAATTATTCCAAAAGCCACATCAATCCTAAAACAGCCCCGCTTTGGAAAAGCACGTACCTGAGAACCTAAAAACTTTGAGATGCGAGAAACAGCGTTTGAGCATCCTCTCGAGGGGTGAAACTGCCCCAGGCGGCTCAGTGTCGCAGACGTCCCTGCGTTGAGGTACCCAACCGCTACGTCCTACCCTCTAAGGATGGGGTCACATCATGTTACTAATTATATTTAGAGAAACACTGGAAAACAGAAACCCTGAAAGGGCTGCAATGAAAGAAAATTTCTATTTTGGATCTAAGGGCTTCACAGCTGCTAGGAATCTACTTAGAAGCACACATGGAGTTGTGAAATTTAAGATCTTCCCAAAAGCATGAATTTCAAATCCTCATGAGAAAATGCCTGTGACTGGGTCTTGAATGTTTTCATAGGACTCGTGAATTTATCGCTACTGTCATCTGCTCATGGGCAACCCAAAACAGATTTCATCCCAAGACACGGTTGCTCGTTAGCAGCTCACCTTTAGCTGTCTCTTACTAAGGAACCGTACGGGGGGAAGGCTGGGAGAGTTATGGAGTGACACTGCCCTTTAACACTGCACATTACAACAACGGTAGCACATTGAACCAACATTTGCTTGAAGAGTAATTCTCATCAAAAGAACGGATTGGAGTCTCTCCCGCATCAACAATGCACTTGACGTTCAAGAAGTGAAATGGCGTATGAGATCATATTATTTGTATTACAGAAGAAATGAGAGCAAGAATACGGCTCAGACACTAGAGGAAAGCTGCTACAGCACTTGGCTGTAAGGAGCCCGAAGAGGAATGAATGCAATGCTTCACCCCACGGTTGTTATAAAAATAGCCGTACCTTCTGTAATCGTAGGTCACATTTTACATACCAATGCCACAAACTTATTTTGAAGGAGGAGTGAACAAAGTCTTAAAGAAAAAAAGAAACAAAGAAGAGAACAGAGCTTTAGAGGAAAGACACAGCCAGTTCTTCTTGGTTTTAATCTCTTCAACCAGATTTCAGGATAATTTTCTCGGAACGACCAAGCACAGTGCTGGCCTCAGTACTGTCGGATTCGTTTATTGTACCGTCTCCACTACCAAGGCAAGTGGCAAACATAGCAAGCCACCTACAGTACAGCCCCTTGAGCAGAAAATCACAAGAGAATAGAGCAGATCAGTATGCGGCTGTTTGTACAAAGCATTTAGCCAGGCTAAAGGTTTGAGAGACTTGTGCTCAGGCCAAAAAAGTAATGTCTTTGCAAGGTCTACAGGCTTGGGCCACCCAGGGCAGGTCACAGGGGGACTCTAACCTCTCTTCCAAAACATTTCACCGATGAAAGAATCAAGGAACAGGAACCGTTAAGCCCTTTACAATGAACAAAGAATAAAGAGTTCAAACGCACACCAGAAAAGAGACATCCACTGTAAATTAATTATACAGAATGGGGGAATCTCTTTTTGTGTACTGTAGACAGCTACGCACACAGGGACAGAGTCTTACATGTATTGTGCGGTTCAAATAAACGCAGCTGGCAACTTCATTCCTCAAAAACATCATTTTGAGGGTAAGATTTTCTCTAAATTACACAATACCGCCAGAATTCATGACCGCAGACCTTTGGGATCGAGGTTACAGCAGCTCCTGGTGAGGGAAACCTGGACAATCCACTTGCGGTTGCATCACTCAGGATTTTTATTTGGGGAAACAATCATCTCAGTACTCCTCAGTGAAGAATGTAGGTCTCAAAGTCACCTTAGACAAGCCTTTGGAAGACTATCTTAGAAAAGCCAAGCAACAGGACCTCTTGCACCTTACCCAGATGCACAAAATAACACCTTGAGGATACTCAAGCTGAAGAACAAATCTCTGCATGGACTCTGGAGAAGCTTGCAAGGGAAAAATGTGAGAAGTGATGGGTAGGAATTGAGGCAAGAGGAACAGAGAGAAGATCCCAATTTCTGTACTGAGCTTATACTTCACCCACACCATTCCCACACAGCCCTGCTTTGAAGCTGTTCCCCATTATAGGCCAAATTATCAAAGCTCATCCCCCATCTGGGGAATTCCAGAGAGCTGTGGGGAGAGGAAGGAGTTATCCAAAACACACTGAACTGGGTCAGATTAAATAAAAATTTCTACCCCTCTCCGTCATTTGTTCCTCTGATGGAACAAAGATGAGCCCGGAGTCCTGTTACTGCATAGAAACAAGTGGTCCAGGGGCCGTGATGATCTGCTGGCAGGGCTGAGGAGCATCCACAGCCCCAGAGAGGAACTCCTCACTGCTGGCCCACTAGATGTTTTCAAGTAGAAGAAAAGGAAGCGCTTCAGAAGAAATTGTATGAGATATGTGCCAAGAAAATTGGTGTCCCTGCCAATCTGTAGGACAGGTCTACAGAATCAAGTTACACGTCTATACAGGTTCCCAAACTCATAACCCAAGATATACAATGGATGTCTCTTAGCAGATGTGAAGTTCTCAGCTCCATTAAAATACATGGGCAAGTGGAACGTACGCATCTCACCATTAGCTCTCATTTGAGCTGCAAAGCTTGACAAGCATCAATAGCGTGTGTCCGTGATGGGTGGGGAAAGGAAGGTGGGTGCAGAGATGAGGAACTGTGCTCTTTTAAAATTTCTTAGGTGTGGACAGAGGTGTCT